AAATTAATTTTTAGCGAAGTCAGCTAAAACTATCTAAATTCCCAGAATAATTAGAATTTATTCGCTTTAAGCATAATCAACGGTTTCGCCTTGCCACTGAAAGAAGAACATAAAATTTTTCTTCTTCGTGTTCTACTTCCGTTGCACAAGGTCAAGTCACTTAGCGTGTATCATCCTCAGCTTGCCTACTGTATAGTGCAGTTTCTAGAAAAGGATCCAAGTCTTACAGAATCGGTAAGATTTATTATTTTTAAATTTTTAAATTATGCATATTTTTAATCAATTTCTAGGTGATCAACGGTTTGCTGAAGTATTGGCCAAAGGTTCATAGTCCAAAAGAGGTAAAAATACTTTTTTTCGGTTGCTTTTAAAGCATCGACTAACAGCTTCCAGTCAGTGTTCTATCAGCGATATGTAGATGTCGTTGTCACTTGCAAAACTGACACAGAATCCTGTTCTTCAGACCATTTGAACAGTCACTCCAAACGACATCAAGATCAACATCGAAATTAAGCAAAACAGCAATGTCCTATTTTTTGGGCATTTTAGTTACGCAGAAATAGAACTGCTATAAGATAGAGGTATACCACTCCACGCATCGATTGCACGATCGTCGCAGACGAACAGCTTCCTATGGTTTGCTAAAATTTATTCCTATTTAGTGATGAAAGGCATTAATAGGACCTCTTGTCGGCAGATGTTTAAGACCGAGTTCTAATGAAAGTTGCATTCGAAAGGAACGCTAGTTCATAAACATTACATTAAGAAATAGTGGCTATCCGAAACGCCTCCGATAATATCATAGGTCCGAATTACGTAGGCAGCCTAGCACATAGCTAAGAAGAATCACCTTATCTCTTGGTTTTAAAGTTGTTTTCCAGTCTGAATTAATCCTTCGGAATGAATGTCAAAACAAAGGTGCCACAGAACGAACCGTGCGGATAATTCGACTCTGTGCTCTTCAGATGTTGGAAGCTTGTATAATGGAAACGGACAGTACCGTCGAGGAAAGAGGCATAACTTTACGTGTGGAACGTTACGTGATGGAACAATACTGACTTAGGAGAAAAAGCTAATGCGCATAGCAGAAAGCATGAGATGGATTGGCAGCGCACAGCTCTCTCTGCCAAAGAGAACAATAAGAAAAATCGAAGAAGCTCTGCTCATCCAGATATTTGAGCAGGGACAATGGTATGCACATGGGACTTTTGATATTGGAACGTGAGTCAATAAATAACAGTTTGTTAAGGTCAATCCCTTCTTCCCTCGCTAGTTCAGAATTTGAGC